TGCAGTGACCATCAAGATTAGTGTTTTCTGAGATGTGACTTGCTGCCTCCTTTGGAGCAGAAGAGTGAGAATGGTACAGCTATAAGGAAAGAGAGGGGCCCTGTGTGAACCAGCAAGAATGAGGAAAAGAGCATAAAGGATATTGTCCCTTTGAAGGTCTGCTTTCCAAGGGCAGAGTGAATGAGAGAAATAATGGTCTGAATGAATCAACAGGATGTGGAGGGAGTTCAGGACATCCTGCCCTCAGCCCTTTCAATCAGACTGTGTTAATGTTCTAACTTTTATTTCTGCCCTTCAGCATTAGGTTCCTCCAAGTACACTATGGAAGTACAGGTGTCACATCCAAGATGTCACTACTCTTCATAGTAACTGCTGTGAGAACCTCAAATCATGATATTTTTGGTTGTGAGTACCTCAGTACAACACAAAGACAGGCATTACAGATATTAACATTTCTCACAGATCATAAGTCTTGAGTTCCTTATGTTCCTGTGAATAAATTACAGCTGTTTACTTAAAGAACGTAGCAACAAAATAAATACAACAGACTATTTACAACGATTCATCAAAAAAGTATAATATGGCACATGATATCATGTTCTTAATTTATTGACAGCACTTTTTTTTTCTTCTAAAAACATGAATACTGGTACTCTCACACCCAGTTCTAGCCTCAAGGCCATAACATATAATGCACTGGCAGATGTGAGACTTTTCACAAGTTTGCCAGTATATGTACCAGCTTGAAAAAAGGGCTGTTTCTTTACACATAACTGATGCTATAAATATGCCATTCATATTCTATTAGTAAATAAATATTCATTTTATATAGAGATGTAAGTACTTCGATTTTATTATCAAGGAGTTTGTGGATCACACATGATAAATGCTGTGTGCACAGTGTTGCAATATAGGCCATAACAACAGATAAAATGGCAATAGAATGAAGCAGCAAGTTAACTGTGCCATGCCATCATCAAAGCGACAGTCTAACTTGATCACACTTAGTTCTTCTCTGTTCATAACTGTTTAAAGACAAACAGTCTAAATTCAGGATAATTTTTTTCTTATCTCTCTATACAGTAAAATCATTATAGTGGTGCATGAGATTATGATAAGCCAGAACACATCTGTGCATTGCAATGCATGTGTTGGTAACAGGCAGTACTAATTCTGCCAATAGGTGGCTTGACAACAATAATCTCCCTCTCATCAGATGCAATTTTTATTTTCTTGGCACTACAGCCCCAGTGGGCCTACACCTACCTCCATGAACTTCTCTGTTCACTTCGGTTTTTCTAGATCTTACACATTAGGTAGGACTCCTTGGGCGGGTGATCAGCTTGTCGCAAGGCTTCTACCTGTACACAAACACAGAAAAAAGTACACACACAAACTAAACATCCATGCCCTGAGTGGGATTTGAACCCACGATCCCGGTTTCCAAGTGAGTGAAGACAGTATATGCCTTAGACCACTCGGCTACTGCGACTGGCATCAGATGTAATTACTCTGACAAAAAAATTTATTTAGAGAAGCTTCATGAAACCTATATTTATACATTTCAATATAGATGGCATGACTGGAATATTTTTCTCTACAATAAAAAAATGCACTTTGTTCAAACAGTGCAATATCACTACGTCAGCTGGTCACATTTTTGACATGTGTCTATATGCCTAGATTAACAGCAAAAGTTAAATGCTGACAGGAAGAAGTGAATGGGCGTTATGAATATAACAGAAGAAATTCAACAAAAATGGAAGAGAAACATGTGATAATGCTGACTGTCTTCTCTGAATTCTATAAAACCTTCAGAGTCCTCTGTACCTTCCCTGAAGCCACATAAAGAGTATACATTATGATGAAAATCAATGTTTTCTTTTCAGAAAGTTGATTGTATTTTGCTTTTTTTGGGGGGGGGGGAAGTAATATCGTTTTTAATTTGTTTGGCAAAACAACTGGATTTAACAAAAATTAGACCTTGTCAGAAAAAAAAAACTTTATAAAAATATTTTCAAGTTCTTTGTCTATGAAATGAAACATGAACCCAGGTAACAATTCTGCATTTCTGCTGCTTCATCTAGTCTGTCTGCATCTGGCATAACAGGAATTCTATGCTATGCTGCAACACTGTGATACATCTCCTAGAATTTGTTTGCGCCATAACAATAATAAACGTTACAAACAAAATAACTGTCCCCAAGCACAAATTCAATATTACTGAACAAACATACAAGCATTTTCCAAATGAAACCAGTTTGAGTGTTTGGCTAAAGGGATGTACATTCAGCTCAGACAAAAATGTCGAAGCAATGACGATGCAAAGTTTCCAGTAACATCCCAGGGAATTCTTTACAGAGAGAATCCATCCACAGGTGCTTCAATGGGACTCTCATCTCATTGCTCTTTCCAATTGTCTTTAACAGACTCTGGCCCTTCGCTAGAATAATCCCCTTGTGGGTTTCATTTGAACCTCACTTTTGGACATTTTCCAGCATCTCATTTTGGTTAAAGAAACATGTTTCTGGAGCCTTCTGCTTGTGTCATATGGTAAAGTATGAAACCTACTGTGATGGCTCCACTGATGGAGATATCTCTATCCCCACATGTATCTGTTTATGAGACAATGGAAAATATATATATATGTATATATATATCGCCACTCATGATGTTACACAAGTGTAAGTGTTAACAACTTTTGTACTTAAGATATCTTGCTTATATGATGTTAATGAAGCTGTTGATATTTTTAAATCCTCACAGAAAATAAGATGTTTCTGACATGAAGAAACAATTTCTTTGCCTCTCTCAATACTGCTTTCCACTTGGTTCCAAAATAATTCTATGCACCATTTTCCATGTCAATTGCTTCCAATTATTGCTTTCACAAAGAGTAATTAATTACCAGTCCTCATTTGGGGAAGATTTTGGTCAATACAGGTAGCAGGATCTCCAATAGCATGGCTTGGTTTTGAAGTCTGATGGATCATGTCTCCACAGAAAGCTTTACTGTATGAACAAAATCCATTTGCACTCAGCAATGAGCCCTTTACTTTCTTTATAAACTTTAACAAAAATTAAACTTATGCAATTCAAATGGACAAAGATGTATCCTGAAGCATCACTCATAAGGACAACACGGGCAACACTTCATTTCTAAATGAGTTTGCCAGTACTCATGTGCTATCTTTCTGCCTCAAGTTCAGAACATGCGATGTACCAGCAGATGTGCGACTTATGACTTTAACCTTTAAGTGCCGAAGTTCCCCATTTGTGCCAGTCAGGCATTTAAACTCCGCTAGTGGAAGCACGCACACACGCCGCTAGTATAAGCGCATGCACAGTCCTAAATATTTATTTTTAAATGTAGTAATTACCAGACAGACTTGAGTAAAATCCTAATAGAGGAATAAAAATGATACCTAAGTGAACAACAACAAAAAGATTGTGGGAACATCCCACATTAACACGCATTTCTGCAACGCTCGCTCTTCACATCACTTTTCACCATCACGCGCGCTAACCAATCAGTTTGCTTCAAATGCTCGCATTTATACAGCGCCTCCTGTTAGCCCACATCTACATCATTACACGCGCTAGCCAATCAATTCTTCCTCTTCAATTTCAAGTTTCGCTCCGCCAACCGAGCAGTGTATAAAAAGGGGCAGCTCCAACGCTGAATCAGCAGTCGATCATCAGTCTATGAGCTAGCCACACCAAGCAAAATCAGCCAGCAGGCTTCGTCGTCAGTGCTCGGTCTACGGAGGCATCGGCGCTTCGCTGCGCCAGGTGTGACTTCCACGGCTGTCTGCCGGTCACACCCGACTCACTGGGCAACTAGGCTGCACGGACTCACCGGTAGTCATACCAGACACACTGGGCAACTGGCGTAGCTACCACCTCTCTGCTCCAGCGACCGCGCTCAACGATTAGCCTTTCACCAGCAGCCGCCACGCTGCGATCAAGCAACCTCCAACCCACCTGCCGCACGGCGACCAAGCAACCTCCAGCCACAGCCGCACTGCGGCCAGTCCACTCACCACAACTAACCTCTCTCCTTACCAGCGCGCGCCGAGCTACCTCTCCAATCAAACATCTCAGCAACCACGGTCCTTTTCAGGACCAACAAACTGTTCCGAAGAAGTGGGTTGTCATCAGAGTAATGACAAAACTACATTAAGAGCCCACAGATTATACGTATGAGTTACACCGAACCTAATCCATGAGCCAGTAATTATATTGCAGATTCTGCAGATAAATATGTTGAAAATATATAGTAAAATTCGATGTACATACCTTTTTTGTTGTTATCTGCTTGATGTATATATAGGTTCCGCCCCCTGCATCATCTAACTAAATCTCGGCTTTGTGTGATATTCTTTGAAGCACCCGAGAATGCACAGGCCCATGTCACATTTCTTGCACTTTGTGTGTATTCTTCTCCTCTTCCCACGTGCAGAACAGACGCGGCAGTTCAGTCTCTTGTCTGAATGGTTTGGCCAGTGTTGTCGATTGGCCTCCTCTAGGTGATATATTGTAGATGAAAGAGCAGGAGGTCGACCTAAGGGCCCCTGGGGGCGAGGGCGACACGTTGCGGCATGCTCCAGCATGTTGCGCACAAGGGTTAGACGAAAGTCTCTATGTGATATTTTCGCACCACAGGATGACAGCACAATGAAACTGTTCAGAATCGTCAGATCTAGTAAATGGAAGAATAGTTTCTTCGTCCATTTCCAAGTCCGACGGTTGATGGAATAACTGTTTGTCATCCTGTCCGCTTTGTCAACATATCCCATGTGCATGTTGTAATCCGCAACAATTGCAGGCTTTATGGCATTTCTGTGTTCATCACAGAAATTGCCTTCTGCTGGAGGAACGTGCATATTAGTCAATATATATACATCTCGTTTGTCTTTCTAAACTAATACTGTCATGTCACCCCTCACCCTAACCCATATGTCTCCTTTCTTCAATCGAAGTTGTCTGTTGCATATGTCTTGTGGTAGGCCCTTCCGATTTGGTCTGACTGTCCCGCAGCAGTTTATTTTTTTCGTCATTAGTTCGTCGAACAAGTCTGGCGATGAAAAGAAATTGTCCATGTACAGTTTGTGCCCAACCCCCTCGACTCTTTTGCAGAGGTCCCTGACCGCTGCATGCGTCACTGTCACTTCTTGGTCAGTGCATGTTCTGTCTTTACCTAAGTAAACCTTCATGTCGTATGTATAGTGTGCTGAATCACAGAGCTTGAAGATTTTGATTCCAAAACGTTTGTGTTTCTTAGGAATGTATTGTCTGAAAATAACTCTCCCTTTGAATTTTACAATTATTTCATCAACAGCCAGATGCTCCGAAGGATTATAATATTTTTCATATCTGTCATTTAGAGTGTCAAAAATAGTCCAAATTTTCCATAGTCGGTCATAATTGTTGGCTTGTCTGTCAATTCCTGCACTGTTGTCTGTAAAGTAAAGGAAGCGAAGAATATGAAGAAATCGGTTGCATTTCAATGTCCTACCATAGAAAGACATGAGAAATTGCTCAGCAGTCGCCCAGTAGTCTCTTATTCGGTCTCTAATGTCATGGCCCATTTGAATAATGATCCCTAAGAAAAGAAACGTTTCGGAATCGGTAATGTCAGGGGAGTGGAGAAGGTCCATCTTCAAGGCTGTTGAGATATTGGTGATAATATTTGTTAGTCTCTTCCACCAGCAGATGGATAATTCCTGTGAAGAATAACTTGAACACGGAGAGTGGAGTGGAATCCTTATTCACATGTGGAGCTTCGTTTAGATTTATCCCCACTGCTCCACCAGAAAAATTATTCGCACCCCTTCTGCCATGCTGTTGTGGTGGTCCCCATAATGATGGTGAAGACGACAATGATGATAGTGATGATGGCGGTGGCTGCACGAGTTCTTCATCGTCCTCATCTTCATAGCCCCAATCATTATCTTCATCTTCTGTGCAGCAGTCCGAATCAGAATCGAATATCAGCTGCCTTTCAATTTCATAATTTTCCAAACGACGTTTCATTGCTATGGTAAGATGAAATGAAACTACAGTATTCGATTTCACTATCACTGCACAGAAAACAGACCGCACTTTGTATCTCAGCCACGAAGCAACTGTTTGTTCACGACCCTAGAAAGGGCAATAATATCTTGCAGCTATAACCGAAGGTCTTAGCACCGAAGAAGGGACCCCTCTAGCTTTCTCTTGAATAGCCATTCTTTCATTCTTCTGTCCTTTAGTAGAAGATTCGAAAATCCGAAGAGTGTAAGCAGTGCTAGCAGAAGACCAAATGATTTTATTGCTTCCATCTGTTTTATGACATCAGGGACTGCTAAAATTTGTCAAGTGTTACAAACAGAAATTCATTTATAATGCAGAACAACTCTGTGAAGAACTGGGAAACCATTTTTGCAGTATGCATCAAAATTAAAAGAAAATAAAATGAAATAGGGTGNCACCAGAAAAATTATTCGCACCCCTTCTGCCATGCTGTTGTGGTGGTCCCCATAATGATGGTGAAGACGACAATGATGATAGTGATGATGGCGGTGGCTGCACGAGTTCTTCATCGTCCTCATCTTCATAGCCCCAATCATTATCTTCATCTTCTGTGCAGCAGTCCGAATCAGAATCGAATATCAGCTGCCTTTCAATTTCATAATTTTCCAAACGACGTTTCATTGCTATGGTAAGATGAAATGAAACTACAGTATTCGATTTCACTATCACTGCACAGAAAACAGACCGCACTTTGTATCTCAGCCACGAAGCAACTGTTTGTTCACGACCCTAGAAAGGGCAATAATATCTTGCAGCTATAACCGAAGGTCTTAGCACCGAAGAAGGGACCCCTCTAGCTTTCTCTTGAATAGCCATTCTTTCATTCTTCTGTCCTTTAGTAGAAGATTCGAAAATCCGAAGAGTGTAAGCAGTGCTAGCAGAAGACCAAATGATTTTATTGCTTCCATCTGTTTTATGACATCAGGGACTGCTAAAATTTGTCAAGTGTTACAAACAGAAATTCATTTATAATGCAGAACAACTCTGTGAAGAACTGGGAAACCATTTTTGCAGTATGCATCAAAATTAAAAGAAAATAAAATGAAATAGGGTGTAACACTTTGTATAAAAATTTTCAAATCTTCCGTTGTAATACGCGACAGTATGTTTTTTGCTGATACAAACAAAATTAATTCCATCCCNGACGACAATGATGATAGTGATGATGGCGGTGGCTGCACGAGTTCTTCATCGTCCTCATCTTCATAGCCCCAATCATTATCTTCATCTTCTGTGCAGCAGTCCGAATCAGAATCGAATATCAGCTGCCTTTCAATTTCATAATTTTCCAAACGACGTTTCATTGCTATGGTAAGATGAAATGAAACTACAGTATTCGATTTCACTATCACTGCACAGAAAACAGACCGCACTTTGTATCTCAGCCACGAAGCAACTGTTTGTTCACGACCCTAGAAAGGGCAATAATATCTTGCAGCTATAACCGAAGGTCTTAGCACCGAAGAAGGGACCCCTCTAGCTTTCTCTTGAATAGCCATTCTTTCATTCTTCTGTCCTTTAGTAGAAGATTCGAAAATCCGAAGAGTGTAAGCAGTGCTAGCAGAAGACCAAATGATTTTATTGCTTCCATCTGTTTTATGACATCAGGGACTGCTAAAATTTGTCAAGTGTTACAAACAGAAATTCATTTATAATGCAGAACAACTCTGTGAAGAACTGGGAAACCATTTTTGCAGTATGCATCAAAATTAAAAGAAAATAAAATGAAATAGGGTGTAACACTTTGTATAAAAATTTTCAAATCTTCCGTTGTAATACGCGACAGTATGTTTTTTGCTGATACAAACAAAATTAATTCCATCCCTTTATCACAAAAATTGAGTTAGATACAGCATTTTTAAACACAATGCTTAAAATTGTTTAAGCGCCCTAAGAAGAACGGACATTTAAACTCAGAGTAGCAACAGTCATTTAAACACGCACCAGCAGCGGGCATTTAAATAAACTCCAGCCAGCTCAAGATTGCCACCATTTCCGAAGTCCGGCATTTAAAGGTTAAAGAAGTTTGCTGGTATGTGTAAAGAGGTAAAGCTATCCATGTAACAGGCCGTGGAGGCCCATAGAGTTGTTGTGAGAGGTGGAGGCTCCCACATTTTCTTGACAATCGGCTCACAGATGGTGGTGAGGTTGTCAGCCTTACGTGCCAGCTGCCCTTTAACCACCAGGAAGATTCCTGGTACTCATTTCTGTTGGAGGCTGAGTCAACCTGAGGGCCATAGTGCGGCTGGAAGGATTAGGTCAATAGAAAAATCCAGTGATCTCATTGGGACTTGAACTGACAAACTTCTTGTTTGTAGCATAGTGCCTCAACAAACTACACATGCATGTTACTGAGATCCTGGATGGTGGCGACCTTGGTGCTTGTGGCTTTTCTCTTTCTGACTACTGCTGTTTTTCCTTCGGACTCTCCGGACAACACTACAACAAACTTAACTAAAACTGTTTATTTTTTAGAAAGGATTATTTGCTAAGAAATTCAGACTGAATATATTAGCGACATAGGGCGATAGCTAGTAGTATAGTCACTATTCCCATCTTTTTGGTTGTGCAATACACTGTCCTTATTTAAGACATGTGAAAAGAGACCGTCAGCTTCAAGTGCAAGTGGTGCCAATAAAAAAACATGAAACGAACATATTCTTATTTCTGATGGGTAAAAAAGTGTGTTTTATTACAACTGTAAACTGAAGATTTTTCCACTGGGATGCAGTTCTACTCATTAAAATTGGAGTCAGTGCAAAAATAGGAATTATGTGTTATGCAATCTGATGACATGGCCATATTTTCAAGAACACATCCCTTTCATAGGGCAGCAACGTGCTGTTCTTTGGTTTGATTTATCTGACATATTAGTTTTCCTTTGCAAAACTTAATGTTGCTTAGAAAACTCTGTTCCAACTGTAAATGCACAAGAGAGTATAAGAATGAGTGCTTTTATGTAGGTCATGTCAATGTTAGTATTCAATGCCCAGCAATGTACAGCAGGTGATTCTTCATGGCGTGAGTGTAACAACTGCACCCCCTTCCTGTCCTAGCTATGCTATAGGATTACATAAAATTTGTATTTTCCAGACTGTGATATTATGGGTTGTGCCACTGTATGATCTTTCAGATGGATACCAGAATTTTGGAAATACATTTGCTGGGTTGAAGTGTATAACGAAAGGATATAGTTAGCTTTTACAAGCAGGATGTAACGAGGGGAAGATGGAGTCAGTATAGTTCTCCAAAATGTTGGTATCCACTCACAATACAGCATGATGTCACAACACAGAAGGCCACAATCTCAACAATCACTGCCATGAAAAGATGAAAACTTATAAACTTGCATTTTATTCCTGCAAGAAAGTAAGATACTGCAAAATGTCTCCTCATCCTTTTGAGGTATGCTGTCTCTCTGTTGTACAGTCTTCATGATTCCTGCTGAAGTTCCTCTTCAAACTGAAATTTGGTTTGATATCCCTTTGATTTGAGCAACAGCAGGGCCTATGGCCAGTAATCCAGGCACATCCCTGCAGTCATGTTTATCATCTAGATGGCTCTGGTAGCTGGCCTTCTGACAATATGCATGTTACACAGATTACAGTCTTCACATGTGTAACACTGTGTTTTCTGGTACAAGATTACTAACGTTTCTGAGCAACGTGATGACTCAGTTTTCAGGGCAGAATCTTCTTCTAGCCTGAAGATGGAGGTAATAGGTTCCTTGGGAGTGTTGGTTACAATCTACCAGATAGCATGGTGTCACATTCCAGAAGACCATAACCTCAATATTCACTGCCATGAAAACCTCAATTCTCAGATGTTTACATAACTGCTTTATATGAATTTACAAACTTTACAATTGAAAGGGATGATATGAAAGGCATTGATATATATATATATATATTCCAGAATAAGCCAAGAAAGCGCTTTGGTGATCAGCACATAAAGGAGAGTAAAACATAAATGTGCTGATATACATAATATGATGGTAAAAAAGTGTTCAATGTGAAACTCTTGAAATTTAAAATATAACAGAAGGACGTATTGATGGTCTGAAAGAGCTGTTTTTTTTTTTTGTTTTTTTTTCATCATCATTTCTCTTTTGGGACAAATTACTGAGGGCTACCCATAAAGTAATTTCCATATATATATTTCCCCTCTTAAGTAATTCTTATGTCTGTATCCTAGCAATAGTGCTACAGCTGAGTATTGGTTTTTCATGAGTGAAATATATTGGTCATGATTTACATGTATATTTTATACCTTCAATATAAGTATTTTTAAACTGCGGACAGAAAGAGAGCAGGACTTTACGACATCAGAAGATTTTGAGTCCAGTACTAAAAGAGCAACATAATTATCCCAGGTCAGACTGCACTGAGATGTGTCAGAAGAACCGGCCACAGTAAACCTCTGTCGACACTCACCTCTTCAGTACACAACTGTGTCACATATAAAAATGTCAGCAGCTCCCATTGCTGGATGGCACTAGAAGCAATAAGTACGTGTTCCTGGGCAGATATTACTTGATGGGCCAGGGGCAGATGGTGCAGGGGGAGGTGGCGGTAGCACCAGAGGACCGCCAGATAGTTCTGGTCAGCCATAATAATACTGACTGTTTCCACCTCTGTTCAGACTTCGGGGGGGACCTACATCCTGGTCCAGCTGACCACGCCTCAGAGTTCCTGAGGCTCCACTGCCATACCGCACCACCTCAGCAACACTTCCGGGGGGACAGTGTACTGACACAACTGGTGCTGGCACTGGTGTTCCCACAGTCAGATCAATATCGGCATCAATCTCACTGATCTCATCTGCAAAACCGTTGGGGAGTGAATGTTCTGCCGCTGCAGTGGCATGGAATTTGGCCTCACGACGTGCCCGATGTCGCTGAACCAGTAGCCGCCCTATCACCAAACCCAGGAACAGCAACAGTCCCGCTGCGACACTGAGGATCAGGTACAGGTAGAATTTCTCTCGGTTCTCTGGAACACAAGCAGTTTGACATCACAATCATATTACATCTTACATCAAACATATAAAATAAACACATTATGTGAAAGTTATATCTGTTCATCAAAAGGCTCCATCTTCAAAACTGGCCAACGGAAGCTGCCAGAACATGGGGCGATGTTTCAGCAACAAAACTGTCAGGTAAATTTCATTTTGATCTGGATCAGACTAATATAAAGTGTCCATGAAGCTTACAGAATTTGAGGTTCTCATAGCTATGGTTATGTACAGTTCTATCTTCTGGGATATAATGCCACACAGTGCACCGAAAGTCAACCGATGTATCGGAGGAACAGGTTGCCTCCATCTGCGGGGTTGAAAAATAAGCCAAGCAAGAATCCAATGTTTGGTTCTGCTTGCTACATGCTTTGCCCTGTTCTTTGCTTGGTGTATTCTTTGACCTGAAACATCAGTTGACTTTTAATGGACTACACAGCGCTATAACCCAGAAGACAGAAATCTTCATAACCACCCCTGTGAGAAACTCAAATCCTACATAGCCATACCTATATGGAATCTGTTGCATTCTGTGTACAAATGGAAAAAATATATTTTTCTTTTCAGTTTGGAGAGCAATTCAAATAAAATGTTACCAAATATCTTGAGAGACTGCATATATAATACAAGGTTACAGACAGACAAGTACACAGACACATAAGGTAAACTTGAATATGAATTTATGTTGATGGTCTTACCATAGATTTTTGCTCAAAATTAATATAATGTTAACTCACATAATTTATTTATGTATATTTGTGCATTAAATCTTCACTGATATGCTTGCAACGAATTCAAGTTGAGCAAACCTTATCATGCAAAAGAACAATCAATAGCATCGCTGACAATATGCTGATACAAGGTCAAACATAAAACAGTAATAATATCTTTTGACAAAATTGACATATCATGTACACTAAAAGGTCTGAACATCACACACAGAGAAAGGTGAATAAACTACACTACAAGGATGGCAATACTAAAATCACAAGTAAATATAATGTAATATGGGTTAACTCTGGTGACTTTCCTACTTACAAACCAGAGCAAACTACAATAAAACAGTAGAAATACATCTATTTAGTTCAAACAGTAAACATACCTTGATCATACCTTTGATTTAATCATTATGTATTATGTTTAACACCATCAAATACTTTAAATCACTAGTAGACATTTTTCATATTAAATGTGATATACAGTGCAACCGTAAATAATGCAAGTGAGATAAGTTATTACACATTATCATCATGCTACTGGTAGAGTTTGGGTTTTCTTGCTGCTGTTTCAGTTTGCTCCATTCTCATAAACATGTCACACATTTTTTTCATGTTCTTTTCTTGTATGGTTCTTTGTGCTACATCATTTTCAAAGCTTTATGATCACAGTGAATAATATGTCTATTTACAGTGACATACTTTATGTCACTTTCAAAATAACATATCATTCACAATAAAATAAATTAAAATATTACTGAAACAGAAGTATGGAACTTGTGTGAAAAAGCCATCACTATATTCAAAAACAAATTCATTATGGCATAAAAAAATGTGACACTTTAGAAATGAACTGTTCAAGAAAAATTCAGGAATTTTATAACAGATTGAGCATAGTTGGTTGAGGTGCTATGCTACAAGCCAGAAAGTCATGGGCTTGATTCCTGAGGAGGTCAATGGATTTTTCAATTGGCTAAATCCTTGCAGCTGCACTGTGGACCTGGGATTCACTTAGTCTCTATCAGAAATAAGTACCAGGAATCTTCCCCTGGAGGTAAAAGGCCGCCGGCTGGTGCGTAAAGCCGATTCTCTAGAAACTGTGGGAGCCTCGATGTCTCACAATTCTATAGGGCTCCACAGCCTCTTACAGGGACAGTTTTACCTTTTCCTCTTTTTTTTTTTTACAATGTTCTTGCAACAGTTACAATGATATGGCACTGTGCTGCCTGGTAGAGGTTTGTAGATCTATTGGAGGAATGTAGTGCTGCTTGGCTAACTCTTCAACATTGAAGGCAGTACATTCCTATGAAACACTAGCAAATTTCAACCAGATCACATGCCATCACATCACAGAAGTTAAGTTTTCTTAAAAGATATTTTATGTTTCATAACTTCAGGTTTTGATAATATTTAGTTAAAATATCTTGCCAACAGATTTTTTTTAATTATACCACACCATTTTATCATATCCAACTAGTGACATAAAACATTTGATAATATAAATGCAGTTTTATCTTTATGTTACATAAAAGAATTTCTTACATGAAATGAAAATGTGAATTCATCATTTCAATTAAGTGTCAGTACACTTTATCCTTATTCTCCAAGTTACAGTTACCAGCACAATCCCATTGTGAAACAGTTGTGCAGGAAAATACCCTGACAGATCACAAACAAGCCCATAAAACTTTGCATTTTCACTGTACCAGTGCCTTCTAAGTTTCTATTCAATGGGTAAATGACAGCAAATTGGCTCAGACAGTAATAGTTGGAACCAGACTTTGGGAGGTGACTGGTTTGATTCTCAGCCAAGACACTGACTACTCCTGCTGAGGTTTTTCATGTCTTTCCTCAGTCCCTTCAGGCAAATGCTAGGATACTGCCTCAAATTAGGAAAAGACCACCTCTTTCCACGTCCTTTGTAACTCATCATTCATTAATCAACCTACTATCTAAGGCCATACAGTCTGTGCTACTGAAACCACTGCTAAACAGATGATCAGTAAGTAAAATATAAATCTGGAAATGGAGCATGAAGCTAACCTCTCACTTTCCTCAAAAGCTGAGGTTAAGAATACAAGGTGCTTCGACTCCACTTCTATGTGTTTTTATGCCATAGTGCTTAGAAAAAGCGGAGACTCTGGCTTCATTTACTTGGAGTTTAAGACACTTTGGCACTTTGGAATAAATTGCCCTCCAAATTTCTGCAGAGAACTGAAAAGAGCTCAATGTCTCAGATTTGAGGTTCTCAAGATGGTGATTATTAATATTGCAGTCTTTAGATATGGAACAGAGAGACAACAAAACAATGCAAATTTACCATCTATAAAGTATACTTTAAATTTATATTTTCATGTAATGCTAAACATAGGCCAGTTTTAAAGAGAAATAGAGCAAAATACAAGCAATGGGTATGAATTTCTAGACAAACTACAGGAAAAGCATGAAGGAACAGACTAAAATGACATTTTTTTAGAAGTTCAAATTAAAAATTTACTTATAGAGTTAGAAAATAAAAAAGCTAGAATGGTCTGGTAATATAAAAAGAATGGATAAAACAAGGATATGAAGAAGGGCATTAGAATTAGAATTTAAATAAAAGAGACCCAGGGGATGACCAAAATAAAATGGTTCAGCCAGGTACTAGAAAACATCAAGAAGAGAGGAAACAGTTGGCAAGAGTTCTGGAAGAGGAAAGGGCACGATGCTATATTACATGGCATCACATCCTAGAACACTGTAAGAGAGTGTGTATTCTCTGAAACATTCTTGTTCTTTATTCAGTCCCTAATATATTCTTCTCAGTCTGCTACATACAAAAATCTCTACACCCATTTTTCACATTCACCCTCAGGATGGAGGTATCGATTTCTTCAAACTACTGCACATTGTTACAGCCATAAAGACTCCAGAAATAAAGTTTGTATATCACTTCACAGCTTTTTATCTCCTTATCAAGAAAAGCCACTGAGCATGCTGGGCAGTAATACTTCTGATTTGTGTTCATCAACTATTATAACTTAGGTTTTCCTCAGACACTCCAGTAAAATGACAGAATATCTTCAAACAGGCCATAACACCTTCCTTCCAAACCCTTGAAGGTTACAGGGCACGGTCATCAGCTTTACATTTGATGCTAAATAACCATGTTATAATGGTAAGACCACTGACTGTTCTCTTAGCCACTATCAGTTTAAATCAGTACTGTATTTAAGTTAAGGGTCATATGAATGTACTGTCACAATACTGTGATGCATGGCTGTTAGATGCTCCTGCCAAACCTTTCCTGCACAACTCTTTAACACAACTGTGAAATCATTATGTAGCAGCATTTAGTAACCTCTACCTCTTTGTTACACAGTTATAACTCCTGTCTACTTACGTGAAAGAAATCTGTATGCATTTAGCCATTCGGAAATGAAGCCAATCGCTCGAGTTTTCTCGTTGGTATAAATGGTGATGGTACAGTTGGTATTTTCGCGGAATTTCTCATCTGAGAAATCATCTCCTTGCATGTCTTTGGGTGTAGCGGGGTCAGCAGGATAGTGAGCAGGGATGTACAAATTGTTATATGGGGGTCGAGGGGTGGTATACAGGCCAGACTTCCCTATGTCTGCAATGGAAACAAAATCAATCCCTTTATAAATTAAATTCCCAAACTCAAACATTCTCTGTCTCTCTCAAAGAGTCTAGTGGCTGAAGCAGTGACATGGCTTGACTCCAGAGTCATGTGAGTTGAGCTACATCATGATTCCAACTAGAACTGTCAGTTGTTGTGATAACCTGCTACTGTGACACTGTGAGTCATCTCAGCAACCCAAAATGGGGTTAAGGTCGAAAGAAACAGAGAACTAAGGACCTTATGTGGCTCCTGTAAAATTCTTGGTTAGTGGCAGAAATGTGTCTTCATCTTAACCTAGCTTCTTATTGATTTTCTTATAGACAACTTGATTTATATTGGGTTGGAGGTTCTTTTGGCATTCAGCATGAAGAATATCACTTCCTGGCTTTTAACACTGCACAACTCAGAAGTCATCCAATATTTTAGAGAAACACATACAAGTATTTCATCTTCAGTGCCAAAGTGTAAGCCAAGCATGAAACCAGCAGAAACTGAGCTCCTGACATGTCTGCTGGTTTCTTGATTGTTTTATTTTCAGCCTGATGCTGAAGGTGAAATGTTCCTCAGAAATGTAAGGCTTTCCCTGAACCTCACAGTTTTATAACTCAAAACAATGTATGGTTTATATTATTCTGCTATTCTTGTTCATTTGGTTATATTCATAAATTCTTACTGTTGTTTTTACGTTGCTTCCCTTGAACTTATCTATTTCCTAAACTACATACTTTGATCTATTTTGTAAATATTCACTCCATCCTATACGTTTCACCAGAATTCCACCAACTTCAGGAGTGTTTAATTAAGTCAAATATAAAAACTATTAAAACTTTCACATTCTGTGAAAGTAGTATGATAAAATTCAATAAAATTTTATATATATTTTTAAGAGTTTTTGAAACATGATCATCAAAGATAAATGTGGCTCAATTAATTAATAATTTTATATTCTCATATTCTGGTTGCTATATACATATTAGGGACAGTGAAACTAAGCGAACATTAGAGATGAATAAGATAATTTTCAGAAGATCAGAAGCAGCAAACAGATGTGATGGGACAGGTGTTTGGGCACAGGCTTACTGTGCAACAGATTCTTGTATAATTAATTCATTTGTAACATAGGAACTAAGCCATCCCCACCCAATTTTCACTGATGGTTCAAGGGAGCCACATGCCACTTCTGAATAACAATTTAGCCAAATCTCATGTATATATTAGAAATATGCAAAAAGTGCTTCTCATTCACTGTATTGACAACTGTATTAATGTACTGCCTTTACAGTAGTACTTTCTTATAGTCATTATATTATTATTGAAATAATTTTGTATTATAATTAAATCAGCTTACTTCTGTCAAAATATGTAAAACAGGTATATTATTTAATAAAAAACACAGCAGACTGCGAACCTGGAGAAAGTGTTTCACCTGCATTTTGTGCTTCCTTTCTACAGCCTCCATACTGCGCACTTAACACATTTCAAGAGAGGAGTAAAATTAAATACAATTTGGATTACAAATATTTTTAAAATTTGATCTTTGTGATTTTGCATTCCTTATTGGCAGTGGGGTTCATTTCTTACAAACACAAATTTATTGTTGACAGCAGAGATATCGCACTGCAAACAGAATTATTAACATATGAGATGTCCTGTTCTTGTGGCTGTGACTATTAAGATTACCGTCTTCATACATGCAATGCCCTGTATTTTAGTAGACAGGTAGCAACATTTTGGAGGATTATGCTTAATCCATCTTCTTCAAAATGCTGGTAGTGATGTACTAAACCACACGGCAACATGTTCCAGAAGACAGCAGTAATCTTGATGCAAAAAATACATTTCATTGCATTTCATTCAGTATGAACATACAAGAAATATTTCAAATGAAAATTGTAGGTCTTGAAAAGATGATTTGTCCTATTATGAATGCATCTATTTTGTTCATTGGGCCATTTTTTTGTGAAAAATAATAAAGTTAAATTTAACTTCATATCAAGTAGATGCTACAGGCCTATGGAATTAACATCACTGAAACTAACCCACTCTACAAACTTGTAGAATAATCTCTGACATTGAATTTTGTAACTGCTGTTTTTATAATATATAAAACAATAAAATACAGTAATTCAAAACTATAGAACTACATCTGTTGAAATGAAAGTTTATTTAAACAGTGAAGTAGCCTTGGATTAACCATAAGAGAGATGGAGGTATACTAACAGATATTAAAGACAGAAACCCATATTTGATGTAATTTTTGAACTAAAACCGACTGGATTCATCATGTCAAGAGAATGCAAAGAAACAGGCTTCCAAAACTATTAGAGAACTGCAAACCACTTGGATCACAGAATGGTGGATGACTTCTGAAGACTACTTGAAAAACGAGACCAGAATGTGTCAATGAGGGACCCTGCTTCCTGACTACTTGATGATGATGCTGGTGATCTAATTCAACAGATAATATTCATTCAAATATGGTATTTTGAAAATCTGATTTTTAAAAATTTTCATACTTGTAGATATTCAATTAAGTAATTAATTCTATGAAGCAGAATCCTTCTTGAGCAGCAAACAGTTGCTCAGCTAGTCAAGGAATTTCTTTACTTTTAAGGTACCTGAAATTTCATTACTACTTGGCAAAAGCCCTCCTCCACTGGTCTCTGTTCAAGTACATGAATAAAATTAATTTATTTTTCTAACAAACTTTAAATAACAGAAAATGAGAGACTCTGCAGTAGCACCATGTCAGCAGCAGCATCACATTGACACAACTGCAAACTTAAAGACAAATCATATACAATAGACGTACTGCAGGAAACATAAAGATGGTTCATCAGGAAACGTGAGGAAAAATCACAGATATCTGAAACAGAACTGTCATTTGGAAAGTCTGTTTGTTTTAATACATTAAAAATGCAAAAAAAAAAAAAAATAAGCAGATTATGTTGAAAGATTTAGTGAAATGCAATATTATTTACATTAAGGTGTTTTAGTGAAGGCCAGTAATTTATTCCAATTAACTCTACAGTAGATATACACAGAACTGGTGCATTAAGTCTACTCAGACCATAAGCCATGTCTTGCTTGAATAAAATTCTGACATTTGAAATGTTCCCTTCATCAAAGTTAGAATTTCTATGTGGGCCAACAAGACATCACTCTGTGATTCTGTTTGATTTGAGGATACATACAATGGTGACTATGAAGAGTACTCTGTTCTAGAATGTGATGCCATGTAATCCAGCAGAACTTCACTGATTTTCTGGAGGAATGTACTCCCACCATCTTCACAGTCAAAGACTAAGCCAAGCAAGTAGATGCCCACATCTTGCTGGGGGCTTAGCTTAATACTCAGTCATGAAGATGGAAGCATTGCTTTCATCTGAAATATCAGTGAACTTCCACTGAACTCCATGGTATCACCTCCCAGATCATAGTTCTCCTCATTCTGTGACTTACACTGCCACACTAGTTATAAAAGCTTGAAAGATCTGAGGCAAAGCAGCAGACAGTGTAGGTGAAGAATATATTTAGATGTACAAGTCTATGTACAGATTATATACAAATATCATTGCTATTTTATGTTTTCTGTTTTCTTTTGCTGTGTCCAATAAAATCTATTTACAACCATTATGTGCCATAACCTACAGTTTTCTTGGGACACTTTATGAAGAACCTGCAGAAAATTTGTATAAAAACTGAGTTAAATACAAACAAAAAAGAATGATCTGCAAGTTGCAAGTAACTGGAAAAGGTTACAAAATGAGGAGCTTTTTAATTTGTTAATTGCATAAAATTGTTATGGGTGATTACTTCAAGGATGCTGAAAGTTGTGGTTCATGGAAATGAGAAATACAGAGAAAAATTTTTGCCAGAAAGTATCAAGAAAAGAGTTACTTGGCAGCAATGGGAGGACAACTTTAAAACAGATCTTACTGATGTGGTATCTGTTGTGTTGAAGGCCATATAAATGCCATGTAATGATACAGAACAGGATGCATACAATATAGACAGATCTCACAGGTGTTGGATTTGAAGGTATGAATTCAAATAAACAAGGTGATGCCAGGGTTCAGGGTTGACATAACATTGGAAATTTAGGTTCCATAAAAGTGAGGAAATTTTGGAGACTGTTGATGTGGTGAAGTTATGGGCACTTATATTGCAGTGAACATGTAAAAACGAAATTCAGTTCACTAACCCCATTCAATTGCTCATTTGCTTCCTGAAGGAGAGTTGTAGTTGAGATGCTAACAGTCACTCTGGGAATGAAGACATTCATTGCAGGTTCATTACTATACTCAAAAGCATCTGTTATTGGTCCCTAACCTGAGCCAGATGAATCCAGTCCTCACCCTTCTACCTCATCCCTCTATTCAATTTTATACCAAGAGCTCTGAGGTTCTCACAGCAATGAATATAAACAGTATTTTCTTCTGGGATGTTAAACTGAGAGGTCCAATAAACATCTACCAATCTACATGGCATAAGATGGCACTCTTTTGTTTCAGAATTATCCTCCCATCTATGTTAGTTCTTCTAAGTGATCCCCATACACTAGATTTGCCAACTAAAATTGTGCATCTTTGGAATTAACAGAGAATAAAAACAATTTAGAAGTATGCAAACTTGAAAACAAAGTGGGAATCTTGAAATGACTGTGGGTAAGTATGTCCAGAACTGAGAACAAACACATGTGATACAAGATTGCATGCCAAAATCTGCTTGGAGCAATGACTGAAACATCTTGTGTGAATTTAACAGCTGACGTCTGAAGTACAGAGTCACACAGGGACCTCATGGACTACACAAATCCTGGGTCCAAAATAAACCTCTGTTTGTATCTGTGTTTGAACCAATGAGAACTGAACATTACACTCACTCGTGGAGCTGAACCCTTCTTGAGAAGCCGCCAATTGTGCAGCTACTCAAGAACTTCCCAGCATTTTATGGAACCCGAAGGTTCATTACCATGTTCACAAGAACCC